GTTATCTGATGTGAACACTTGATGTAGGCTACAGTAATTAAGACAGTGTGGTCTTGGCAAACAGACCAACACATATGTGTTCAACTGTCTTTGACAAGGGTGCCAAGGTAAATCAATGAAGAGACAGTCTTTTCAAAAATGCTGTTGGAACAATTCAATATGCACATGCCAAAAAGAAAAAAAAATGACCCTTACCTCATACCATGTAAAAATATTCATCTCATTAATGGCCATAGGCCTAAATAATAAGAGCTAAACTTCTAAATCCTCTGAAATAAAACATGTGAGGAAATCTTTGTTACCTTGGGTTAGAGAATTGTCTCATAGGCCGCCAAAAGCACGAACCATTAAAGAAAAACTTGATAAACTGGACTTTATCAAAATTAAAATTGTCTGTTTTTTTCAAAGACACTGTTAAGATAAAAAACAAGCCACTGCATGGGGGTAAATACTTGGAAAACACATGGCTGATAGAGAACTTGCGTTCAGAATATATAAAGAACACTCACAATTTAATAATAACAAAAATGGCAAAAGATGATAACCAACAGTTCACCAAAGATGTTTAGATGGCAAATAAGCACATGAAAAGATGCTCAACATTAGTTACTGGAGATACACAAATTAATATCACAATGAGATACTCTTACACCTCTACTAGGAAGAAAGACTAACAATACCAATATCACCAAGTGCTGGCAACTGGCAAAACACCTGGAACTCTCATATGTTGCTGGTGCGCAACTAGAATCGTACAGTTAATGCTGGAAAACAGTTTGGTAGTGTCTTGTGAAGTTAAACATACACTTGACACATGACCAAGCAATCCCACTCTAGATATTTACCTAAGAAATAGGAAAACATAATCCATACAAAGTCCTGAACATGAATGTTCATACCAGCTTCTTTCATGATAACCAAAAATTGGAAAAAATTCAAAAGCACATAACCTGGTCCAGGGATAAGCAAATGGGGCATCATTCAGCTACAAAAAGGAACATACTGCTGATATACATCACGGCGTGGATGAATCGAAAAAGCATTAAGGTAAATGAAAGAACCAAGACATACAAGGCTATGTACAATTAAGATTCATTTATGTGACATTCCAGAAAGAACAAAACTAGAAGAAATAAGATCAGATGTGGGAGTGGAAAAGTTTAATTGTAAGGGGAATAAGGGGATGTTTTAGGGGAATGAAAATGTCCAATATCTTGATTGTGGTGGTGTTCACATGACTATTTGTCAGAGAACTGTACACTTAAGAGAGGTGAAGTTCATGGTATATAAACTGTACCTCAATAAACCACATTTAAAAAAAAAAGGATGTACTTACATCAGAATAAATATATCATGACAATACATGGAAAGTATGGAAATTATGTTAAAATGTTACCACATACAACCTACTATCATATTGTACTATTTTTGCATTTCCTTTTACTGAAACACCTGTTAAGCATTAAGGGTAGAAAAAAATACTAACAAATATTGAATTCTAGTTAATGATATGACTGTGGAAGTATTTAGGTATGAAGTGTACTGATCTCCAGAACTTTGAAACACATCACACACAAAAAATAAGGGAGACTGACGAAAGAAAAGAGGAATTGGTGCACAGATCGATAGGAGATAAAGCAAATATAGCAAAACATTCATTGTAGAATCTAGGTGGTATTATACGGGTGTTCAAATTAGAATTCTTTCACTTGTTTGGTGTGAAAATGTTCTTGATAAAATGTTGTGGAAAAAAGAAGTTGAAAAAGAACAGCCCAGAAACAATAAAAAGATCGTGGTTTCCAGGAGTTTGGGGAGAGGGAGGGTGGGAGGAATGAATAGATGGAGCACAAGGGATTTTTAGGGCAATGAAGTTATTCTGTATGATACTATAGTGGCTACACGTAATTATGCATTTGTCAAAACCCATAGAATGTACAACATCAAGAGTGAACCCTAATGTAAACTATGGACTTTGGTTGATAATAATGTGCCCATATTGGTTTATCAATTGTACCAAATATGCCACACTGATGAGGGATGTTGAGGGGAGGGGAGTATATATGTGTGGGTGGGGAGGGCTATGTGCAAACTCTCTGTATTTTCTGCTCAATTCTGCTGTGAACCTGATACTGCTCTAAAAGAATAAAGTCTATTAAAAAAGAAAAGAAAAGAAAAGAAAAAGAACAGCAAAGTAAACCCAAAGAGGTAGAAGAGGAAATACAAGTAAAAGGAGAAATTAACAAAGAGGAAAACACACGATACAGAAATTTACCAAAAGTAAAAAGCGTTTTCTGTGGAAAGCTCAACATACTTAAGCTAACAAATATGACAGTGAGGTTTCTCTTGATACTTGGATCCTGACAGAAGATGTTTATGATCTCAGAACGACCAGAGAATTTATGAGACCTGTTAGGGATTTCATCCAGGGGCCAGAGGAGAATAGGGTCTCTGAAGCAGCTTGAAGAATGGGAGAGAACCAAGCTGGCCAGTGCTCCTGGGTGATGGCCTTGCTAACTCCCCCAGTCCTTTGAACTCCTCTCAGTGGACATTTAAAGCAATGAATCTGAACTAGACATGGGCATCAGAACTACGGGGAGTGTTACTTACAATGCACATAACTAGGCCTACCTCTGGCTTTCTGAAACCATTTCTAGAGGGTGGGGCCTACTCAGTAGTATCCTGAGGGTTCCCCAGGTCACTGTGATACACTTCTGATTAACAACCACTACATTAAAACAACATTCCGTATGGCTAATAACCATAAAAAGTAGCATAACATATATTGAGAACTTCCTTTGTTCCAGACACCCATTTTGGTGCTTTACATTCATCCGACTGATTAAATTCTGACAATCCTGTAAGTTCTAGCATTAACCCTGTTCAACAAATAGGCAAAGAGAGGCTAAGCCACGCGTGCAAAATGATGGGTTGTGAATGAAGAAGCCAGAAGATGGATCCAGGCCGCGAGAGCCAAAGCCCAAGCTCTGCACCACTGGGCTGCGGAAGGGTAACAAACCTCCTCCCTCCGACCTATCTATTCACCCCGCCCCGGGATGAGTGAGAACAAGATGCAAGCTCTCGCCTCTAGGGCTTCGTGTTCCAGGCTGAGAAATAAGCCGCAGACACTTAGCTGGGTTTTCAAAAAAGTGACCGAGTGGAATGCAAAAACAGAAGCTTAGCTTTGTTATTTGAAGTTGCAAATGTGGCCAACAAAGACAAGAAAAATACAAGTTTAACAGACACTGTGAAGAGCTAGGGAGTGGAAGGCCAAGGTGTAACTGAGCTAGTCCCAACTTTTCATAGAGGGGAGAGAAAACTGAGAACTCCAGAGAAGTGGATGTCAAAGTATTCCCTGGCCCTCTGGAGGTGCTCATCGGAGGAATTAAAAACAGAAACCTTGAAAAGAGGCTGCCCTTGGAGCTGTGCCTGGGAAAGCACTGAGATTACTTTGCATCCCATAATGTCCTGCACACTTTGATGGAACATGTGCATGTGATACTTTTAGTTACAGATTTTTTTTGGAGGAGAGGTAATTGGGTTTATTTTAAAATTTGTTTTCAATGGAGGTACTGGGGATCGAACCCAGGACCTCGTGCCTGCTAAACCCGCACTCTACCACTGAGCTGTACCCTCCTCGCTGTGATACTTTGAATATAATACAGTTTTTAATGTGACTCAAAGGGTGGAAGGTGCCTCCTCCTAACAATGAAATAAGAATGAGACAATTCCTGGAAATGGTGGAAGCAGGAAAAAGCATGCCATGAGCAGACCAGAAACCCTGGTGAATCTCTACAGGGCAAGATATCTGGGATGGACTGAGCATAAAGAGGGAATTGTAGCGTAAAATGTCCCTAGGGGGAGGCACAGGGAGGTGGGCGCACACAGCAGCAATGGGAGGCTCTGAGCGAGAAGGCGCCTCCGCCAGGCAGGAGTGGGCTTGGGGGAAACCACAAGGGGAGTTTCCTGACATTAGCTGGGCCAGCGTCTGAAACTCATCTCTAGACAGCTGGTGGAAAGCAGACGCAGGTTCAGTCAATCTGAGGTGGGTCCCAAGAGTCTGCATTTCTACTTTGCGCCCGGGCCAGGCCCAGGCTGCTGGTCCACGGACCACAGCGAACAGTAACGGTGCTCTTGTCAGACTTCTTTGGGATGAGCCACTGAGTGGCCACTGTGAGTGGGAGAGAAAAAGAGGAAGGCCAACATCTGAAGACTTTCTGGATCCTCTTAAGGGGCTCAGAGCAAAAACAAAGAACAGAAAACTCTGCCGAGGACTGAGCCACCGCTCACTGAAGCATGCCACCATGGGAGTGGTATGCCCTCAAGTTTATTTATTTTTTTAATAAATAGAGATAATGCAAAAGAGAAAATAGTTGAGTGGGAGGGAAGTACTGATAAGAGCAGGAATCCGACAACAGGTGGTATCAAGTCAGATGTGGAAGAGCATGAGAGAAATAAGAAAACAGAAACCCATTTAGCCACACAGTGAGGGCAGACAAGGACACGGTGGGTACCTGGCCTGCTTGAGCTGAAAGTCACTAGAAAAGCTTTTCTGTCCATCCAGACTCCAATAAACCAGGTAGGATAATTTCCCTGAGGTTAAAGACTCCAAATTTCAGACTTCGAGAGCCCACAGTATGCCAAATAAAGAGGAAACATCACCCTTCCATCTGCACCTCTTCTGATGAGAATGCGAATGCCCAAGAGAGGGCGTAAGTCCTAACAGCGTCCAGAAAGGAAGAGGAGGAGGAGGGAGAAAAGGCTGGGCACGGCTCCCTAGCCACCTAGATGCTGGACAGTGAGATGGGGTGTGAAGAACAGCAGTGGCTACCTCTGTCTGAACCCCGAGAATGCAGGGCTGCAAAGGGGCGGCAGGTGGGGCATTGCGACCCTAGTCGCATCTCCAAACCTGCGGTTTCTGAGAAGAGCTCCTGGGCGTGCCCCCGAGACCAAGATCTTACTGACCTACTGGGTTCCCCTGCCGTGGCCTGGCGTGGGCTCACCTGGACAGCTCCGCTTTGGGGTTTGTCCATCTGCCATCCTGGCCTCCTCTTCAACTTGTCCCATCCTGAAGATCGCGCCTGGTTGGGCCATGAGGTATCCTGTTGAGGGGAAATGACATAGGACTTTGTTATTAATGCCAGAGGTCTTCCAGAGCCGAGGCCCGTCCTTGCAGGGTGGAGATGTTCTGGCCTTGGTGACCTCCCCACGAGCAAAGCCAGCTTCTCCTCAGGGCAGAGCATTCACAGAGGTGACAGCATGAACATCCCGTGCAGGGAGCAAACACCATCACAGATTCTTGACAGGGAGCCTGAGGCCCGACTCCTTCAGGGCCCAGATGCCTCTGAGCAGCAGCAGAGAGAGGGAGACACGAGGGGGTGTGTTCTGGTCACCCTGCGGAGGGTCCCTCACCCACAGAGAGCAGGTGGCCGTAGTTCTCCAGCGTGACATCCCTGTAGAGGTTCTTCTGAGCGGCATCCAGTAGCTGCCACTCCTCCAGGGTGAAGTCCACAAACACGTCCCTGAAGGTCAATGTTTCCTGCAACAGCGCACTTCTCTTTAGCCCAGGGTCACAATGAGGGGGGTTGGGGGCAAGAGGATACAGGCCAGTTGCTAAATATCCCCTGATGCCCAGGGCAGCTGTCTACAACGTAGTACTTTCTGGCCCAAAAAGGGCAGGAGTGACAAGGTGAGAAAACCTGCGGTTGACCACACAGCGAAATAGAATGATCGTGAAAAGGACCAGAACATGCTATAATACGTGAAAAAGAAGAAAAGAAAACAAAGGGATTCTTCTATCAAGACAGATAAGCCTACGTGCACTCTGGAAGGATGTATGAAAAAGTGAAGGAGACACAGGGACAGTCTGAGAGGGAAAATCATTTTTGACCTTTTGCTGAGCAAAGCTTTTGTTTGAACTTTTTCCTGTATGCGTAGACTCCTTTTAAAAATGCTCAATTCAATTTATTCAGAATGTTTTTAGAATCCATATTTTTAAGTGAAAGTGGTTTTTCACTTTTTACTTTTTTGCAGTCTCGTCCTTGAATTTAAGTGATGTCATAACATGAACTAGATTCCTTTTCATTGTTCAACAGCCTGGAAAAGTTGAACATAGAAATTACCTGGTCTTTAAAATTCTGTGACAGTAGCAATTAGTCCAGGAATTTAAAATGTGAATAATACCTTTTACTCAAAAACCCAACTTCCAGGTGTATTCTCCATAAATGCCTGCACTAATGGGCAAATAGATACACAGAAAATTGTTCATGAGGCAGTGTTTACAATAGAAGAAAATTAAAAACCTAAGTATCCATGAGTAGAGAAATAGTTAAGTGATACATTCACACTATGAAATAGGAGCTGAAGGAACCTTTATGTACTGATGGGGAACAACACCCGGAATATAACCAGGTGGGGAAAGCAGGACAGGTACGGGACTATGACCGCGTTTGTGGTAAACCACACACA